AAAATAATAATAAAGCAAATGAATAAGAAATGCCATTGTAAAAGAAGAACACTTATTTTTCGAAAGCATGTCTGAAGCATCAGAGAAAACTGCGAATGCAGAATTTCTTACATTCAATATATTCCATTCCGGGTCTGAAAGTTTTAATTTTAATAATTTCTCTTTATGTTCGGAAGAAACGCCTTTTATTGAAGGTTATTGATTCAATAATATATTTAAAATTGGTTCATATTGAATTAATTTTGATATCATTTTGCATGTACCATTCCATCGTATGCGTATACTCATTGTTAAAGCAGCAGGAAATGTTAGACGATAAAGGTTTTGAGTTATTTCATGTAGAATATTGGATTTATTGATAATGTTGCCAATTTTCGGACAATTATGAAGAATCCAACTTATATTTTTCGCATCAAAAGGGTTATTGAAGACTTATTCAATATCTTGCGCTATTTCTTCAACCAATGACACAGTATCTATATCATCTCGAGGTGCATCGCCGTCGTTTTTATCATATGAGTCAAATTCATCGGTAACATCATTTGAGGATGTGGGTGTGGATATTCTCTTTGACTATATCTATACCTTCATCCAAACCCACACTCACACCCACTCTCGTCTATTAGCTGATTTGGTTTTGTTTTCAATTATTTACAAACACTTCGCTACTGAACAATATAGCTATAAATGTTGTTCAGAACAGTTCGTTATGTTATTTAATGATATGTTCAAATTCTTGTTGATCTAATCATGTTTGTGCTAATTTAATAAAAACATCTTTAATTTTACTTAAGTAATTATCAGTCGTGGATGACGTTATAAAATGGTGATCAAGTATAGATCATAATTTCTTGTTTTATTCAGTTCCACCTATATTTAATTTTTCAAATAAATTTTGTAATTTTCTATCTTTTAATATATTATCCATATTGATTTCTTAAGTGGTAGTAATTCAATGACACATCGATGAAAACCGAACGCTAATACATAACACAATACGACGAAAGAAGACTGAATGAACGAAAAATGAAAAAAAAATCTAATTATTCAAAAACTAACCATTCAGAAAGTCGAAAGAGCATGTAATCGAAAGGATCTAAACAACTTCTCTTTTTTCACTGTTAGAAATTACTTTACTAAATTAAGCTTAATGAAAAATAATAATTAAAAACTATATCATTAACCATTAAAAGCGACATCTATAAGAAATATACATAAATATAGACCTTTTTCGCACGCAGTTTTCGACAACGAAGTTCTTAGTGAGATGTTTCATTAGGATAACTTGAGAGATAGCTCATGATTATTCACGCGAATGAGAGTTTTTCTTTGAACTTAAAAATATCCCATATAGCTACTGAAGCCACTCCATTAGACTTCATAAGTCATCAGAAGATTCGAATTGGTAATAGAAATTTATCAATCGCTGGAGACGAAAAATTATTAATCGAATAACAACCTTCTATGGAGTATTGTTGTCAATGTTTATTCGATCACGCATTCTATTGACGCAAATTTAATACATAAGCAACCACTAGTATTAAGAAATAACGATAGACAAAATGATAAATTAAATTGAATCAGTAGATTATATTTACAAAAAAACGGAAATATCAATTTTGAATATCAGAATTTTTTTATTAGATTAATAATCAATAGACGCAACTGTTTTCCTTAAAGCAAAGAATAAATTCACATATGCATATTTGCCAATAATTCAATGGGGTTAGTCGAGACATATTGACTAACTCTGTTTTTTTCTGTTTTGTCTCTCTTATTTCATTTTATTTGGAATCATCGGTGATCCAAAGTCAAAGTTTGTTTCACCAGTGACAGAGTTAACAGCAAAAACCAAGTATCATAATTCTGTCGTCAAACAAATTTAGTTGATAGTGAAGTTCATCGTTGTCATTTTGATTTTCTTCAATAACATTCTGATGGTTTAATCACCTGTGAACAGTTGTCTGAAAGTCCAGATGAAGTTTGGCCAGAAAGTCAAATCAATAAATTTCCTCCACATCTTTCTGCTATTTTGTAAATTTTAATTGTTTATTTTGTTTGATTTTAATTCGAAAATCATCAAGATATAGCTATATGTTTGGGTAAGACGGATAATATCCATTTAGAAAAGAAGAAATATTTAAAGGCACTCGAGTGTCATCGACAAGAATTAGTTATTTTTGGTAATTGTGATGTTACATTACAACATTGCAATCAGTCACTCAATATAAAGTGAAATTCTCCTTCGCCTGAATAGATCTTTAATTGCGAATACTCTCAAGA